GGAAGAGCCCCGGAGACCGTTAGAAGACCGCCAAAGTCCGCTGAAGACCGCCAAAGACCGTCAGAAGACCGTCACAGACCGCCCGCAGCCGTCAGATGACCGCAGAAGGCCGTCCGGAGACCGCCGGAGGCCTCCCAGGGCCGACGGGCAGCAAGGGGTCCGTGGTCGAACGCGTGGTTCCTCGCACGCTGCCATGGTGGACCAGACGCTGCTCACGACTGCGGCCGCCCTGGCGGTCTTCGCCCTGTCCAGGCAGCTCCCGTCGCCGTACAAGGAGGTGGCGCTGCTGTGTACTTGTGCCGGTGCCCTGTACGGGAAGTCCGCCTGGGAAGCATGGCAGGTGCGGCGACGAGCAGGAGGATGATCATCGGAGGAGGGCCATTTTCAGGAGAAACGTTGGGGGGATAGTTATATGCTCAGGGCGGGATGCATCGACAACCAATCGCCCATGGATCGCCTATTGGGGCCCAATCCCAGAACTGTGTTGATTCTCGGGGGCTTATCGCCGATCTGTCGGCGAGGCATCGCCGATTTTATACCTGGACGTGTTTCCTCCCAGAGCTGGTCCCTCTCTAACGGCCCCCTCCTTCTCACAGTAGGAGGCGGAGGGGAAGGATGAGGAGGAGGAGGAGGAGGAGGAGGAGGAGGAGGAGGAGGAGGTGGAGGGGGAACGGGGAGGGGGAGGAGGAGGAAGGAGGAGGGAGGGAGGGAGGGGGGACGGGAGCGGCTGGGAGGAGAGGGAGGGGGGGAATGAGACACATACTGGACCCAGTGGAGGAGGTTGGGGAGTCATATCCTTAGTCGTGGGAGGGGGGGGGAGGGCCGAAGAAGTCGCCGAGAGTGCAGAATCTGGTGCAAAGGCGATGCGTTGAGCCCGATGCAAGCGCACCCCACATAGGCATCGCGGAAGGAGAAGTGAGTAGGGGCAGGGGGAGAGGAACGGAGGGCAGAAGATGGGAGAGGCGCGAGTGGGGAGGATGAGGACGGGGGAGGAGAGGAGAGGAGGAGGATGAGAGGAGGAGGTAAGAGGAAGAGAAGGAGGAGGAGGTGGGGGAGGAGGAGGATATGAGGAGGAGGAGAGGAGAGAGGAGGAGGTGTGCAATAATGCGCAGCAGGAGGAGGAGGAGGAAGGGAGGAGGAGGAGGAGGGAGGAGGAGGAGGAGGAGAGGAGGAGGGAGTAGGAGGGGGGATGAGGGACGGAGGAATGAGCGGGAGAAGGAATAGGGAGGAGGGGGGGCGGGGAAGAGAGGGAGGGAGGAGGAGGAGGAGGAGGAGGAGGAGGAAGAGGAGGGACGAGGAGGACGAACGACGCCGACTAGGAGGCGGAGGAGGAGGAGGAGGAGGAGGAGGAGGTTAGGAGGAGGCTGTCGAGCGGGGGGGGGGGACGGGGCCTCGGTGAAAGCTCGCAGGCGGCCCTAGAACCGGGACGGGGGAGGGCCCCGCCCCGACCAGCGCGGCAGGCGCGGCGATCGGCGCTGCCGCCCGAGGCCGCGCGGTCAGCGAAGGACGGGCGCACCGCGGCCGGGCCCGCGCCTCGCGTCTCGCTCGACGCGCCGCCCTCCCTGCGCGCGCCGTCTTCGGCGCGCGCAGGGAGGGTGGAACATAGGGGAAGGAGGGTGATCGAGAGGATGCGGCGGAGGAGGAGGAGGAGGAGGAGGAGGAGGAGGAGGAGGAGGAGGAGGAGGAGGAGGGGGAGTGGGACAAGCTAGGTGCGCTCGCGTCATATCTGACGTCCTACTCCCTCCCATCCCTTACCAGGCGCTGAATTTCTCTAATCCGCGGACGCGTGTCGTAGCGGACTGTGGCTCCGCGCGCGTGCGAGTGGGTGGTGGTGCACGTTCGTGCGTGCGTGCGTGTGCCGTGGTGTCGTGGTGGTAGTGGTGGTGGTGGTGGTGGTGGTGATGGTGATGGTGGTGGTGCTGGTGGTGCTGGTGGTGGTGCTGGTGGTGGTGGTGTTGGTACTGGTGCTGGTGCTGGTGCTGGTGGTTGTGGTGGTGGTGGTGGTGGTGGTGGTGGTGGTGGTGGTGGTGGCGGTGCGGCGCGGTGGTGGCGGGCGGATGGGCGCGCGAGAAAAAGTCCCGCGCTGGAGCGAGAACGCCATCCTGAACGACGGAGGCCAAACACCGATCCGAAAATGAGGCCCACGCTGCAGCGGGAGCACGATTCGGAACGATCGGGAGCAGAAATCGGGAGCAGAAATGAGGCCGGCGCCTCAAACGAGAGCAGCATTTTGGGAAAAAATGACGCCGGCGCCTCAGCGAGAGTCGTTTCCCGGGATTTCCCGGGCATCCTGTGTGTTAAAAAACAGTACGCGGAGGGTGCGCGGCCATCACCCGGACGCCATCAGGGGAAGAGGGAGAGTATTTTCAGATTGAGTAATTGTAGAGGAGGGGGAGGTGGAGGAGGAGGAGGAGGAGGAGGAGGAGGAGGAGGAGGAAGAGGAGGAGGAGGAGGAGGAGGAGGAGGAGGAGGAGTGGGAAGAGGAGGGGGAGGTGGAGGAGGAGGAGGAGGAGGAGGAGGAGGAGGAGGAGGAGGAGGAGGAGCCCCGGCCTCGCCTCGGGCGGGGGACGTGAGCTCGACGTCGTCCCCGCGCAGGCGGGGTCGGCGGCGCCCAGCGCGGGTCTCCGAGGCCGAGCGGCGCCTTTCTCGTGCTTGGGGCGTTGTTGTTTGTTTGTTGTTGTGGTTGTTGTTGCTGTTGTTGTTGGTGGTGGTGGTGGTGGTGTTGTTGGTGGTGGTGTTGGTGGTGTTGGTGGTGGTGGTGGTGTTGGTCTTGGTCTTGGTCTTGGTCTTGGTCTTGGTCTTGGTCTTGGTGTTGGTGTCGGTGTTGGTGTTGGTGTTGTTGTTGTTGTTGGTGGTGGTGTTGTTGAGGCGTAGCGGCGCCTTTATCGTGCTTGAGGCGTTGTTGCGTGCTGTTGTTGTTGTTGTTGTTGTTGTTGTTGTGATTGTTGTTGTTGTTGCTGCTTCTGTTGTCGTTGTTGTTGTTGGTGTTGCTGCTGTTGTTGTTGGTGGTGTTGGTGGTGTTGATGCTGTTGTTGTTGATGGTGATGTTATTGTTGTTGCTGCTGCTGTTGCTGCTGTTGTTGTTGTTGGTGTTGTTGCTGGTGCTGTTGCTGTTGTTGTTGGTGGTGATGATGGTGTTGTTGTTGTTGGTGTTGTTGGTGCTGCTGTTGCTGTTGCTGTTGGTGTTGTTGTTGTTGTTGTTGTTGTTGGTGAGGTTGTTGTTGTTGTTTCTGGTGTTGTTATTGCTGTTGCTGTTGTTGTCGTTGTTGTTGTTCGAAGGCTCGAGGCTTTGTTTTTGTTCGCGCTCTAGTTTCTCCTCCCTTCCTCTTCCTTCCTCCCCTTCGCCCGCGGTGCCGATTCGATACTCTGGCTCTCCCCATGTATCTCTGATACCCCTTCAGTCACGGTTTCGATTGAGCACATGCTGTTGTTGTTGGTGGTGATGATGGTGTTGTTGTTGTTGGTGTTGTTGGTGCTGCTGTTGTTGTTGTTGTTGTTGGTGGTGAGGTTGTTGTTGTTGTTGCTGGTGTTGTTATTGCTGTTGCTGTTGTTGTCGTTGTTGTTGTTCGAGGCGTTCGAGGCTCGAGGCTTTGTTTTTGTTCGCGCTCTAGTTTCTCCTCCCTTCCTCTTCCTTCCTCCCCTTCGCCCGCGGTGCCGATTCGATACTCTGGCTCTCCCCATGTATCTCTGATACCCCTTCAGTCACGGTTTCGATTGAGCACATCGCCCCGCAATGTTGGCTGCCCGCTGCGAGGGTTGTGTCGGCGGCCTTCCGGCTTCGGGGTGCCCTCCTGCAGCTGCGCCTCGCCGAGGGCGTTCGGGGAGTGCCCAGATTGTCCCCAGGTGGGCAACTGAGGGGGGGATGGGTTCAGGGCGGTACGCATCGGCCCTCCCGATCGCCCATGCATCGCCGACAGAGAGGGGCCCGATCACCCACCCCGCTCAGAAACTTGCGGGTTCGCTGCTGGGGGCTTATTGCCGATCCATCGGCGACGTATCGTCGATTCCAGGTTGATCTTTCCCTGATGAGCCAGTCCCCCCCCTCTCGCTGCCCCTCATTTCCTGGGGGATCGGGCGTTTGGTCGAGGTCGTGCTACACAAATCACGACGGGCGGGCGGGGTGGGGCAATTTTCGGTTTCCGGGAACCCTCATAGAGGGCCTGAGCAGACAGGGGGAGGATTTTGCTTCCGATTTTCGTTTGGCCGTCCGACAGAGAATGCGAACGCATGGGGTGGTGGGCGACCCTTGCTATGTTGGCCAAGGAGTGGCTTGAGCATGTTCGACGACGACGAAAATTGCGGCGACGACTACGTCGATGACGATCGTGGCGACGAGGAAATGGAAGGCGAAGAGGACGCGGGCGACGGCAACGAGGGCGGGGATGTCTGGACTAGCGGTGACAACGATGGCGGCGGCAACCGGTAGACGGCGGTCGACGACGATGGCGCGGGGCGGCACGGGCGGGCTGCCTTTCGGAGAGTCTTTGGAGCCGCGCGGGCCAGACGGACGGAGTCGTGAGCTCCCGTGCGGCGGGGTGGTGGTGGTGGTGCTGCGTTGTCACTTCGTAGTGTCGATTGATCCTGTGGCATATGGTCCAACGTATAGACGCTGCTGGCGGCTTTTCTGTGAAGGGAAAGTCGTAGGCTCCCGTGCGGTGGGGTGGCGGTGGTGGTGCTGCGTGTCCACGTCGTAGTGTAGGTTGATCCTGTGGCATGGTCCAGCGTATAGATGCTGCCGGCGGCTTTTTGTTGTAGGGGAAGTTGTAAGCTCCCGTGTGGCGGGGTGGTGGTGGTGGTGGTGGTGTTGTGTTTTCATTTCGTAGCGTAGATTGATCTTGTGGCCTGGTCCAACGTATAGATGCTGCTGGATGTTTTTGTAGGGAAAGCACGAACGACTTCCGACGCGGTGATTGGTTGTGGTTTCTGATGGCTTGCATTGATTTTTTGATGCGCTGCTCTCCAAGTCGCCACTAGTATCGTGAGTTATGCTCAAGGCTTTCCGACAAGCCGATAGGCATCGGCTTCCCCTCGAGCAGATCTGTATTTGCCGGGATTCTTGTCAGATGCTTGGCTGTTTTCGCAGTGCCCCTCTTCCTGCCACACAGAGGCGATTGTTTTGTCCAATTGGAGGTCACCTCCAAAGACGTTTGCGCCGCTTCCGTTCTCCCTGTCATCATCATCATCATCACCAGCGTGGCACCGTCCTTGCTGGCGCCCTGTTCACAGAGATGGAGATTAGTGCGAGAAGTATGTTTGGCCAGACGGCGCAGCAAGCACCGAAAGCATCACACGCCCCTGCCTGGGGTGTCATCAAGAATTTGCTCAGCATGAGATTGTGGTCCCCGGGAGGGAGCCCGTGCATCTGGAGTAGGGAGGGGCGCGCTGAAGAAAAAGAGTGACGCCAGACGGTATGTGTAAATTCCTGGAAGGTCAGGTGTCGCCGTCAGGAGTGACAGGATCAGTGTTCTGATGAATTTCCGTCGGCTGTCGGCACTCTTCGTTGTGTCGGTTGCGCATGGGTAATCGGCGTACCCATCGGTCGTTGAAAGTGTTTTTTTTGATTCCCACATTCCAGATCCACTTTGATCGCCTTCCTACTTCAATGATCGAATGGCTTCACCGTCCACTTCAGGGTGCGGGCGGACACCCAATCTAACTTCGACGCTTTCATACTTGATGTTTCTACCTACTTCTTCCGACCGATGGGTCTGCCCTCTTGGCCTGGCCTCTTGGTCGGGGGCCAGGAAGGCGAGCGAGCAGGGCACGACTCGGGGCTTCCACCCGGCGACCTCCCCACCCTGCGCCGGGGCACCCCGCGGCCCCCTTACCTCGGTCGACGCGCCGCCCGAGGGCGCGCGGAGGTGTTTCGCGCGTGCTTGCGAGCAAGTCTGGCATGTCCCTCTGCAGGAGAGGTCTTCCAAAGTAGTCAAAACAATAGTCTGGGGACGATGCTTCGAGTATGTTTGACTAATCTGGCGTGTTTGTCTGACTATTTTTCATCTGTCTTCGAACATCCGCCAGTAGGAGAGGACATGCCCGACCTAAGCTTGCGATTAAGGCGGGCATGTCCCTCTGCAGGAGGAATGGTCAGCAAACCGTCGGAGGACGATTTTTCGGTGTCGTCTGACTATGTTTTGGGGGCATTCTTGGACTAGTTCAAGTCTTTCTTTGAACATCCGCCAGTAGTCAGGAGGGAGAGAAACACACAGATACAATTAATCGTCGACTCCCGGGAAAATATGGGAAAATATGGGAAGTGGGGGGGAAGACAAACACCCAGAAAATATTGGAAAATATGGGGAATCCTTTTATTTGTATGTATTTATTTGTGTGTCCTGGGGTCCCTTCAAGTAAGAGGACCTGCCCGACCAGAGCTTAACGAGCACCAGGGGGGGGCGGGGGCAGGCTGACGCCCGGGCTGCCTCGTAGGGGGGGCAGCTGCGGGGGGGCCTCGGGCGGTCGGGCGAGGAGACTGCGGAGGCCCAGGGCTTGGCACCGGCGCCGCTGCCGGGGGAGTGCGCCCCCCCCCCCCCCGGGGGCGTGTGCCTCCCCCCCTCGGCATCGCTCGGACGTGTGCTTCTTTTCTCGGCGAGAACCATCGAGGACCATCCTGGACCATCGAGCAAAAGAAACACGCACGAAACCGAAAAGTGCACGGGAAATGGACGTCCGAGCGACGGCAAGCCCCCGGGGAGGGGGGGGAAGGATGATCGGGGGCCCCCGAACGGTGCGGTGACCTCACGGCGGGAATCTATCCACCGCCTGGAGGGTCGTCAGTTTTCGGAGCCTCGGCAGGCGGTGGGTATGGACATATTCGGGCCCCCGGGGGCCGAAATACATCCATATCCACCGCACGCTGGGGCACCAGGACGTCGGTTCCCAGGCGGTGGACATGGATAAATCACCGCCTCGTACGCACCGTGTTGCGAGTCCGTGTGCATTCGGGGCCGCCGCACGCTTTAAGGACCCGAGTCGTTTTCCGAGGACGTCTCGGGCAACTGGGGCCCTCAGGGTCACGGAACCATGTGGTGACGCACCGTACGGCGAGGTCGACGAAGATTCCGAGATCACCCGCACGGTTTGTCACCGCACCGTTTCGGGACCTTTAAGATGACCCCGATCTCGGTGACGCTTCGCCGTTCGGGAAGCGGGTCCTGAGGGAAACGGGTTGACACCCGACTTTTTTGCACCCCGACGCCGCCATTTCCCACCGCATCGCCAGTGCATCGGCGATGCGGTGCGGTCTGACGCCCGGTGTTCTTGATCTCGACGTCGCAGATGCATCGGCTGAGCATTGGCGATGCGGTGCTACTTCGGGACTCATATACAGAGTTGTCCGTTGCAGCTCGGTGGGTGGTTTCATCCGAGCCGGGTTTGAACATGAGGCACGTCGGTTATTCAATATCCGGTCAGTGAACGCGAGCACGTGCTCTGTTTCTGCGGGGAAACATGGTCCCCATTATCAAACAGCGGCGCGCCAAGGAGGACTAGGACACAGCATCCTGATACAGACGATCGACCCTGGACCACCAGCGCATGGAGCAAGTACGCCAATGACACCACTGGGCAGGCAGGCTGGGCATTCAGAAGTGAGGCCTCCTGCCTTCACCTCGGCATCGCTCGGACGTGTGCATATTTCCTCGGCGAGGACCATCCAGGAGCATCTTGAATCATCGTGCGGAAAACAAACGCACGTAACCCAACAATGCACGGGTAATGGACGTCCGAGCACGGGTCATCCCTCTGCCTCTCCGTGGTCGGGGCGATCCGAAATCCATTTTGCCTGACCCGCCTCCCTGCGTCAGGCCCGTGCGTCCTCGACGAGGGAGTCGACGCCAGCTCGCGTGCGCGAGCGCACAAGGGTGGAGGCCGGCGGCGGCGTGGACCTGGCAGATGTTGCGATACCTTTGCTGCGAGGTGGAGGAGACCGCTCGAGACCGAACGATCCGTTACGTTGCATCTTCGAGGAACCTCGTCTGTCTCAAGCAGCTATGTCGTTTCGCGCGCCCAGCGCGGACCCGATACGGGCTCGACGCGGAGTTGGCTCGGACTCGGCGCGGGTTCGACGCGGACTCGACGCGGATTCGCGGATATTCGGCGTAAAGGGCACCGCGACGGGACAGACAAAAGGCCTTACGAAGATGCTTCAGAAGATCCGCGCGGCGTCGACAGGAGCCAGGTGATCGTTTTCTTATTCATTGTTTTGCCGATCGGCGCGGGCCCTCGCACCCTCCCCCTCCCCCCCATGAGGTAGATCTTGTTTGTTTTTGGCGCCTATTTCGAGCAGGTGGAGTTCAGAGCAAGACCCCCCCCTCCCCCCCCCTTCCGCACAATGTCGTAACGCCCACCAGCAGTATTTCTTCCGCCCCCTCTGACGCCAAGTCATCTGTTGACGTGGACCACCTGGTGCCCCCGACCCCCGCTCGGCGCTCCGCGCGGATCCAAGAAATCCGCGCGGAGCGCCAAAAGTTTATGTTTATGGCGTTTTTTCTTCGTCCAGACCTGGCCTTTCGTCCGACCCGCGCGTCGGGCCACCCTGAGACCCGAGGACGCGAAAAAGTACGGCATCGCGAGAAACCACAACCAGAACCATCGACCCAATCCCTCTACTGTGTTTTTCGAGCCGGATCTATCTGTGATGGCCCCAGGGCCCAGCATTGGACGAGAACGCCCACTGTTGTGGAAAAAAGTGCAACGCCCAGACCCACATACGGTCGACACGAATAGAAAGGACGGGCAACCTTCCCAAGGGTACCTTTGCATCCTTGCCTCCTCGGTCCATCCTTGGTTCTTTTCGGCGGCCGCGCCCCTCTCGAGAAGCTTCGAAACGGCGTCCAAGGCCCTCGCCTCCGTACCGCGCATCCTCACTATACGGGTTGACTGTACCCTTGACGCCCCGAGTCTCTCGAGACGCCGACCTCCAGAGGTCTCGACCCGCTCCCCCAGACCGGCTCGCCATCCTGAGTCGTGCTGCGACAGCCCCGGGGGCCCGACCCGGCGAGGACCCCCGGAGGCCGAAAGCCGACAAACATCGGCCGTCGTGCTCTCCTCGTGGCCCCGAGGGTCGGGGGCGGCCCGACCGGCCCCCAGCAGGCCATCCCCGTCCGTGGCGTCCCCCCTCGCCTCGCCACGGGACGTGTGCGTATGCGGCCAGAGGGAGGCTCGAAAGAGGCCAGGTGGGGCCGCGAGAAAGGGGGGGGCGGCGAATGGGGGGGGGCAGCGAGGGCTGCAGAAAAGGGGCCCTTTAGGGCCCCCAGCGGGGCCCTCTAGGGTTCAGAAGAGGGCGCTCGGGGCCCAGAAAGGGCACCTCTCCCCCCCCATCAGCATCCCCCCCCCCTCCCATGAAGCGACGCCCACCGAGGGTGAGGTCACGGAAGGCGATGGTTTGCTAGGGGCCGAGTAGCGGATCGATTACAGAATTGATTTTCCCCGAATCTTTGTATCTCCTTGGATCGACGGAAAATAGTCAGACTTCTCAGCAGATTTGCACAAGCTCTACGTTTTCCTCACAGATTCGGTGGGGCACATCAATGCTGGGGTACGTCAATTCTGTAGGCGACCTCCTACTCGAAGGGCTCGGTCAGGCCGCGCCCGAGAGGGGGTCTGGGTCTCAGGACCCCCCCCGCCAGGACGCGCCGCCTCTCCGCCGACGCGCGCGCCGGGCGATCTCGCGAGGAGGGCGACGGGTGGCCCGCGCGGCGTCAGCTGCGGCCCCGCTGTCGCGCGGGCTGCGGAAAGGGGCCCCGGGAGGCGGGCCTCGCGGCGAGATCGGCCCTGCCCCTTGGGCGTGCCGCTCTGGAGGGACTAGCACTGGTCGGGGGCGGCCAAGGGGGGGGATGGCTCGAGTCAAGCCAGGGAGTGTTCTACGAACCTTCTGTGGCGTGCACGGAGTGTTGTCAGAACGCTGCAGGTTGAGGCTGTCTTGTTTTAGCACGTTAGGCCTGTGGTCTAAGAGCATTGCTTTCTGGTTTTTGGAACAGATTTGGGTTATAAGAACATCTCGTGGTATGCCTATAGGAATGCCGGGGCGGTCGGTCGCTGCTCAATCAAGGGCGCCCTCGAGGGCGCGAAATTATTCGCGCTTCGCGGTTCGGCTCCGATTCTTTCTTGTCTTCCTCTTCTCCCCCAGGGAGCGGCGCGAGAGCGCGACTTCCTCTCCGTCCCTGCGGGGCGGGGCGAGAGCGCGAGGTCCTTCGCGCATCGCGCAGCACGGAGCGCGAAGTTCGGTGGCATTGATGATGAGGATTAAGTCGGGCCTGTCCCTCTACAGGGGGGAATGTTCAAAAATAGTCAAAACATGTCTGGGGACGATTTTATATATCTATATATTGAGTATTTGTGGGGGGGTGCGATATTTGCTTTAGTTTTTCGTCCAGAATCCCGATGTAGGAGGACATGCCCGACTTAAGAACAGGGGGGGCGGAGCTATCTTGGCGTGGGCCCTGATGTTTACCCAGAGTGTACAACGCCTCCTATCATTTCAATGCGTCCCCGGACCCCCCCGTGGGCCGCGCGCGTGCCGCTGGCCACGACTTGCGCCTCCCCCCTCTTGGACGCCCCCCTCTTTTGGACGTCCCCGACATGGAGGGGGGAGGCGAAGGGCTGCACCCGAGTGAGAGCCAGAGCTCGGGCTTGCCGACGCTTCTTGGCGGGCCGGCGCCCCGAGTTCGACGGCCCAGTGCTCGCGCCAGACTTCGGAGGGGCGATCGGCACCTTCCCGACGGCCCCGCCGGGCCGACCCGAGTCCCCCGAGCCCGAGAGCCTCACGCCTCCCCGAGAGAGGTGCCCCGAAAGGGCCCCGGAGTCGAGGGACGAGAGGCCCCTCGGGCGTGCCGCCGGGGGCGGGGCGATCGAGGGCGAGGAGGAGGAGGAGGAGGAGGAGGAGGAGGAGGAGGAGGAGGAGGAGGAGGAGGGGGAGGAGGAGGACGAGGAGGAAGTGGGGGGAGGAGGGAGGGAGGGAGAAGGCGGCAGGAGAGGTGCCCCCTGGAGCCCAGGCGTGCTCGCGTCGTGTGGGGCAGCGGCGCGAGGACGGACGGTGCCGGGGAGCGGCCCTCGGCCTCGGTGGGCCCTCGCCGGGCCCGCGGGGGACCGTCAAAGTCAGGAGGGGAAAAAACCACACAGACACAGTTAATCGTCGATCCCCAAGAAAATATAGGAAAATATGGTAATTGGGCGGGAAGATAAAACCCAGAAAATATAGAACATATGGGGAATAATTTTATTTGTGTGTATTTAATTGTGTGTCCTTGGGCCCCTTGACAAAGCACCAGCCCGGGGATCTGCACGAACGAAATGGGCACGGAAAGAATGGGTGCGAGGCCCAACAGCGGATCCTGTTCATTTTGAACGGGACTCGCTGTCCACGCCGCCACGGCCTGTGTCCATTCGAGACAGGAGGCCACCTGCCCATCAGCGGCCGCTGCTGGTTTGGGACAACAGTTGTTGTTGGGCATTGGACCCATCCTTTCCGTACCCATTTCGGGATCCAAAGGGGACGAAGGGCCGGCCCTGGGGAGAGGGTCGGGACTTCCAGGGGTCCCGCACTGCACAGGACGAATAAAAAAGTCCGCATGTTCAGGAAGGGCCCTGAAGACCAGGAGCACAAAGACGGCACAGATAATCATGATTTTGCGGAGTTCCAGCGGCTTTCTCAGACGGGCGCCAGGCTCCCCTGGCGGCGCCTCCGGCGCCGCTCCTGGCGCGCTCCGCGCGCCAGCGAGGGGTTCCAGCGCGGATCCAAGGAATCCGCGCGGAAATCAGAGTTTTGTTGTTTATGCTATTTTTGGCTCCCCTAGTGACGTCTGTGCCAGGTCCTCTTCCTACGTGAAGGGGCCCCACGGTCTGAGGCGGCTGCGGGGCCTGAGCTGGATAGGGCCCGGGAAAGTACTGTACTTAGGTTTTTCTTAGGTTTTCGATGGGAACTCGAAGTTCAGCTTGAGGAAACAAGGGGCTTCGCTCCTCATTGATCGTTCCTTGGGTCAGCGCCCCCCGACTGTAAGTAAGGGGGGGGATAAAGGGCAAAGTCGGCTCCTGGACCCCCCCTTGGGCCCGTGTGGCAGAGATCCGTGCTCGACGGTTCCAGGGCCCTAGAGGGGGCCCCCGCCTGCCGAGGAAGGCGAAGCACTTCTCCAGCCCATCGCCTCGAACCTCGCCCCCCTTCCCAAGGGCTCGTTCCGACTCCTCCGTCCGGTTCGGTTCGATTCGATTTCGATGGCTTCCGATTCCGACTCAATTCCGATTTGGGTTCCGATCTCTTGTAGGATCCCGAGGCACGCTAGCCTGCCGGTCTCCGCCGACTCGACTTTTCCCCGCTCGGCCGCCGATTTCCGCCGATCTGATTCGTCTCGATCGCCGATCCGACCTATCGATTAGATCCTGGGCTCTCCTGCGGTTCCCCGGCCCTGCAGGGGCCCCCGCACGCCGAAGAAGGCAAAGCGCTTCTCCAGCCCAGCTCTTCGAACCTCGCCCCCCCGAGGAGAAGCAGGAGGAGCTAGGAGCTAGAAGCTAGGAGCTAGGAGGAGGAGGAGGAGGAGGAGGAGGAGGAGGAGGAGGAGGAGGACGAGGACGAGGACGAGGACGAGGACGAGGAGGACGAGCCGGAGCAGGAGCAGGAGCAGGAGCAGGAGATCCTTCCTGGTGGCCGGAGCCGGTGCGGGGCCGCCTCGGACCCCCAGCAGCCAGCTCCAGCCCCACGGGGCCCCGAAGGGTGTACACGAGAGGTGCGGCAGGTTCGCGTCGTGCTGACCGGTGGCGAGACTGCCGCCGGCGTTCAAGGCTGAACGCCGTCGGCGACCCAGAATCGGTCAGTCTTGAACGATCCCACCTTTCGGGAACAGACGATCGTTCCAGGCTGAAGCGACCTTGGCAGTGGCAGAAGCCAGCGCCAAAGTCGGCGCGTCACGCATTTTGCCGCAACCGATTCACTCAAGAGTGGTCACACTCCCTTCGGGCGAAGAGCAACACATTCGAAGCAGGAAAAATGGCATGAGCACAAACTTCTGGTGCCGAGCGCCAGAAGTGTAGGTATGTTAATGCAGCTTTTTCTTCTACAAATGCTTCGGCGGCCCAAGATCGCCGGCGACGTCGGAAGAATGGCGCGACGGCGAACCGATGACGCCGAACGACAGCGGCCAGCGGCCGACGAGATCCAGGAGGAGGAAAAACACGCAGACACAATTCACCGTCGATTCCCGCGAAAATATGGGAACAGATGGGCAGTGGGGGGGAAGACAGAAGCCCAGAAAGTATGGGAAAATATAAAGAATCCTGTGATCTGTGTGGATTCATTTGTGTGCCCCGGGGCCCCTTCAGAGGGGGGCGCCCCTCGCCGCCCCCCCCTTCCCCCCGCGGGCTGCCCTGGCCTCCCTTGGCCGCGCGGCGCCGCGGCGGGCGGCAGCGGCGGGCGGCTGGCCGCGCCCAGCGCGGGGGGAGCTGCGCGCCGCCGCGGGCGCGTGGGGCGGGGCACGGACTCGGAGCGCGCAGCTCGCAGGAGAAAGGCGCCATGATGGCCGGACGGGATGAGGGGGGAACGACGACGAGGACGAGGACGAGGGCGAGGGCGAGGACGAGGACACTACAAGAAGAAGAAGAAGAAGGAGAAGAAGAAGAAGAAGAATAATAAGAGTAAAAAGAAAATAACATACAACGCCATACATGAACATTTGGCGCTTCGCGCGGGTTTCTTGCATCCGCGCTGGGCCCCCCCCCCCCAAGCGGCACCTCTGGCGCCGTCCCTGACGCGCTCCGCGCGCCAGGGAGGGGGGTCCGGCGCAGATCCAAGAAATCCGTGCTGAGCGCCAAAAGTTCAGTTCATGTATGTCGTTATATGTTGTTGCTCTTCTTGTCCTTCTTCTTGTGTCGTCGTCCTCGTCCACGTCCTCGTCGTCGTTCCCCCCCTCATCCCGTCCGTCTGTCAGCCACGCGCAGAGGGGGGCAGGGGTAGGGGGGAAGGCTTCTCAGAAGCACCCGTGCTTCTCAGGAGGCGCGGGCCTGGTCTATACATGCAGGGCCGGCGCCTGCCAAGAAGCAGCCTCCTTCTGAGAAGCCTGCCGCCCTCCCCCTACCCCCCCTGTGCTCGCCGCAAGTCTGGGTGGGGGGGGGGGCGCTGTGGAGCCCTGTGACCCATCCCATCTGGGTGCGGGCTCATTGGGCCCTCTTGGAGCTCCCTTGGGGTGTCCCTTGGGGCGCTCCTGGGGCGATGTTGAGGGAGCCT